AACTATTTGTTGTCATCGACATGTGGGCATGAAATAAGCTTGGCGCACCAGCTTCTTCCTTAGCTGTGAGTACGAGCGCATCAGTTGTTCGAAACTCAGCACTACAATCACACCCCAATAACACATGCAATCTGTCCAGATGACGGAATCACACAGAAACGCATGGCCATATCGGCAAGCCTTATGCGTCGTTACCTGGCTTTTATCTATGTTAATTTATGCGCAGATGCTGACTTGAGGCGAATTGGTGCAAACAGCAAAAAATGTTTTTTATAAGCCAAGCTGAGCTGCTTCCATCATTCCCAAGCATCCGCTGATCAATGTGTTTTTGTCACTTCATTTTCTGAACTTTATTATATGGAATGTCGTTTGTGATTGATATATTTCATAGCGAGGTGCTCATGCATCATAACGTTTTTTATATCAATTTTTGTTTGCTGTGAAATATTTTTGCTATATTTTTCTCCAGATGCTTTGTATGCGTTTTAGAGAGCCCGGGGAAGATATGGCGGCAAGGTTAGACTGCATCTGATTGCACAGAATCAACTCTGTGTTCCCTCACTTTCTCAGTCCTCGTAGCTGAGGATGCCTAATTTTCTTTCTGCAAAGAGATTAGCATTGATGCAGTATTGGAGCTGGCTGAACCCGGTGTTTTTGTTTATTCAACATACGGATACTTAAGAGGATGTGCTGGGTTCTCAGACTAAATTTGGTCCTGAATTTTTTAAAGATAAATGAGTAATAACGGCCAGTATTTTGTAAGGCGACATTCTTATGGAACATTTGTCGGGTAGCAGCTTTGTAATGTGAAAACCGACTTTGTTTTTGAAGAAGCGGGCCATGTTGCATTCCATTATGGTAGGGCGATTCTTCGGTCAGCTCGTGTTCTCAGATTGTCTGGCGTCGTTTATTTGATGCTTTCTTGATTTTTTTGCTTTAGCGCCCATGCGCACTTCTTGCTGCTTTATTGAATGTATGATTATAGCTTTAGACATGCATTATGTGCTTTAATCGGGCATTTTGTAATTGTGCATATTTCTTTACCAGTAAATGTAAGTATGTTTATCGAACAGTTTGATTTTAAGAGCATTGCAGAACAGCTTCCCCATTCCTACTCTGATACTTTGATCAGCTGCTATTCATAGCTAATTCTGCGGCAGCGCAGCTGGCAGCTTTTCTGTTTTTTTTTTTTTTTTGACCAGTGCTGCATCGCCTGTTGCTCAGCCTGCTGAGCGGTTCTTGTGTTCATTTCGTTTCCTTAACAGTTGTCTACATATCTCTGCTAGTTATACGGCGTGAGTTGCAGAAAATGAGAGTAGACGCAGCAGCTGGAGTTTAGTAGTTGCTTTTGCATAATCAA